CAAATCGGTCAACTGTTTGCGTATTTCAAGACAAATTTAAACAATTTAGTGTTGGATTTTACGTGTGTGTGGTTTGTAATTTGAATAGAACCTGATATCGAAAGAACATTTTTAAAAAGTTCATCCCAACTTCTACTTTCTCTTTTAACCCCTCGCCTGCCCGCCCTGTCTGTCTGTTTTCCCCACTTTTCTCGGCTATGGCCCGAAGCCAGTTCCAGCCGATTTAGCAACAACACGAATCACATATCAGCTGTTCGGGTTGCTGGCGAGATTTCGATTGGCCATGTGCGCCATATTTGCATAATCTATTATATAATAATCTTTGCATGAAGGACAGAGTCTATATTTCTGCTGCAGTCATCGCAACAAAAGTATTCAATCAAAGATGCATTTTCCTTGCTTTCCTTGCATTTTCCTTGACCGGAAAAGAAGTTTTGCCTCTAGTGAACACCTTGTAATGCTGGAGAATTTTTAAAATTATGTATAAGAAGCAAAATCTTTTTGGGTGATAAAGAAAAATAACGACATGAACGTCTACGTCCGGAGTGGGAGGGCCGAGGCTGTTATACCCTTGTTGCTTTAGTAGTCTTGCCGTTAAGTAGTGTTCACATTTCTTCTTGTTTTTTTCTTTTTAGTTTGAATGGAAATTTTGTTCAAAAGTAAAACTAACAACTAACCAGGAAAATAGCACGTTGTAAATAGATAATTCACTCGCAAAAACTGATACACAAAATCGTTTTATTCAACAGCAATCAAGAGCAAGATTACAAAGCGTTATGATACTGAATTAATTAAGACCCACCACACAGAATGAGTGTTCATGGTTGTATTTAGTTCAGATCATATATAGCATTATTTTTTTATATTTTCTTCCAGTGGCCTTGGCCTACAGGTCAGTTTTTTTGGAACTCTTTACAATATTATGTCTTGTAAATGAAAACAGATGTCAGCAAGTTTTGAAGTAATGGCAAAGCAAGGAAATATTTTCCATAGGAGATTGTGTCAGAAAAAACAGTTGATAGCTTCACAATCGTTACAACCTATCAAGTGTTGTTAATTGCTAATTCCTATAGATTTAAATTCAGATTAGCTTCAGATTTAAAATGGTAATCAGAAAATTTGTGATTCACCATCCCATTGCTGTTGGTATTTTTGGAATCTGAAATGAAGACCAACAACAAGAAAAAATCATGCCATTTTTTTTCATAATTTATGCATGAAGCTAAAAAGGCAAACATGCGGTTATTTGCTGTACTTGTCTCTGAGAAAGGAAGTCTATAGTCCTCTTTGCGCATGCTTGAATGATATACGTACACTGACTAACTAGCTGAGTTGATTGAATGACCGCCTCACTCACTGACTAACTAGCTCCCTGATTGACCGAGTGACTGACAAACTAACTCACTGAGTTGATTGAATGACCGCCTCACTCACTGACTAACTCCCCCGTAATTGACCGAGTGACTGACGAACTAACTCACTGAGTTGATTGAATGATCGCCTCACTCACTGACTAACTAGCTCCCTGATTGACCGAGTGACTGACGAACTAACTCACTGAGTTAATTGAATGACCGCCTCACTCACTGACTAACTAGCTCCCTGATTGACCGAGTGACTGACGAACTAACTCATTGAGTAATTGATTGAATGACCGCCTCACTCCCCGACTAACTATCTCCCTGATTGACCGAGTGACTGACGAACTAACTCACTGAGTTGATTGAATGACCGCCTCACTCACTGACTAACTAGCTCCCTCCCCGACTGAGTGACTGACGAACTAACTCACTGAGTTGATTGAATGACCGCCTCACTCACTGAATAACTAGCTCCCTAATTGACCGAGTGACTGACGAACTAACTCCCCGAGTAATTGATTGAATGACCGCCTCACTCACTGACTAACTAGCTCCCTCCCCGACCGAGTGACTGACGAACTAACTCACCGAGTAATTGATTGAATGACCGCCTCACTCACTGACTAACTAGCTCCCTGATTGACCGAGTGACTGACGAACTAACTCATTGAGTAATTGATTGAATGACCGCCTCACTCACTGACTAACTAGCTCCCTGATTGACCGAGTGACTGACGAACTAACTCACTGAGTAATTGATTGAATGACCGCCTCACTCACTGACTAACTAGCTCCCTGATTGACCGAGTGACTGACGAACTAACTCACTGAGTAATTGATTGAATGACCGCCTCACTCACTGACTAACTAGCTCCCTGATTGACCGAGTGACTGACGAACTAACTCCCCGAGTAATTGATTGAATGACCGCCTCACTCACTGACTAACTAGCTCCCTGATTGACCGAGTGACTGACGAACTAACTCACTGAGTTGATTGAATGACCGCCTCACTCACTGACTAACTCCCCCCCTGATTGACCGAGTGACTGACGAACTAACTCACTGAGTAATTGATTGAATGACCGCCTCACTCCCCGACTAACTATCTCCCTGATTGACCGAGTGACTGACGAACTAACTCACTGAGTTACCGCCTCACTCACTGACTAACTAGCTCCCTCCCCGACCGAGTGACTGACGAACTAACTCACCGAGTAATTGATTGAATGACCGCTCACTCACTGACTAACTAGCTCCCTAATTGACCGAGTGACTGACGAACTAACTCACTGAGTAATTGATTGAATGACCGCCTCACTCACTGACTAACTAGCTCCCTGATTGACCGAGTGACTGACGAACTAACTCACTGAGTTGATTGAATGACCGCCTCACTCACTGACTAACTAGCTCCCTAATTGACCGAGTGACTGACGAACTATTAACTCACATAGGCCAAGTTCGCGCAAGGACTATAGTTGACCAATGGTTAACTAACGTTTGCCCGAACTCTGTCTAGTCAACGGTGGTTGGCTACGCTAGTCGACTATTTGGAACCAGCCTACTGGGGTTGGTTGCTTCGCTGGTAACCAATACCCGCGCGCATTCATAACGCTAGCAGAGAGCCAGGATCCAGAAGTTTTGCGATGACATTTTGACCAGCGTTTGACTACAGACGTTCGCACGTTGCTATCAGTGCGCAGGCGTAAGGTACGTCACAAATCAACCACTAGTCGACTAATGGTCCTTGCCCGAACTTGGCCTGAGTTGATTGAATGACCGCCTCACTCACCGACTAACTAGCTCCCTCCCCGATTGACCGAGTGACTGACGAACTTACTCACTGAGTTGATTGAATGACCGCCTCACTCACTGACTAACTAGCTCCCTAATTGACTGAGTGACTGACTAACTAACTCCCCGAGTTGATTGAATGACCGCCTCACTCACTGACTAACTAGCTCCCCAATTGACCGAGTGACTGACGAACTAACTCCCCGAGTTGATTGAATGACCGCCTCACTCACTGACTAACTAGCTCCCTAATTGACCGAGTGACTGACGAACTAACTCACTGAGTTGATTGAATGACCGCCTCACTCACTGACTAACTAGCTCCCGATTGACCGAGTTACTGTTCTGAAGTCTCACCAAGGCCACGTGCATGAACAGTTTCCCACTATTCAAGTTCTGAATCCATTGAATAGACTTTACTAAGCGTTCCTTGTCTCTGGTTGAAGTTAGTAAAAGACGACTTTAAATTTACTTAACGCTCTGTGTAAGACACCTCGCGAACAGGGCTGAGTAGGTCATTTGGAACAGTATCTGTCTGTTATTTCGAAGCTAGCGTGTTCGATTCCGCAAACACTATAATGTCTGACCTATGCTCCTCAATGTCTGTCCTATTTTTGAAGGTAAATGAAAACCGAATTAAAATTCTCAAAAGGTTCAACGCGTCCTCATCTCACATCGGAGCTTTTTTTGCCAGCTGACGCAGGTCAGCTTTTTCGTGTGTGCATGACCCATGCACACCAAAGTCTCCCACAGTAAGCAGCCCAGAATGCATTGCGTTTCCGTACAGATTATGGTACAATGATGCACCCCTGTATTAAAGTTCCCCTCGATACTAGTGCTAAATGCCCATACTTCAACATTCCTTTTAAAATACTGAAAACTCTCACAGGTTTTAAAGCTGAACAGAAACGTGATGATCAACATTTTATCTTTCATTTTTTTTTTATTTGTGGTGGGTTGCAAATTGACTTTTCGAGAAATTCTCACCCCAACACCCTATTTTTCCCAAAGCGGAAAAGTAGCCATCTTAAAAACCGATCCCTCCTGCCCTCCACAACACGGAAAACTAGCGCCAAATTCGAGCCCAATTGCATCAAAAATGCTCAGAATTTGAATCCCATAGTCCGGGCCAGAGGTTCATTGCCATATCTCTTCAATTCCCCTATTTTATGGCTCTCAGAACTCTCTAATATAGAATATTTTGAGGGTATAACTTTTATTCATGAGCTCGGAGGATGGGTTAGTCCTAGTCTGCTGTGCACGCACAAGCGTTTAACCCCAACTACCGGCCTTTTCATAGAGGTTTGTATAGTTTCTCTTCACTTCGATTTGAATCGGAGTAAGGCGGGCGGGTGGGGGATAGATGACTTATTCATGAAGAAACTGTTGAGGTAATTTTCCGCTGTCGTATGAAACTTGGACTCCGATGAAATCTGTTCTCTTATACGGTTCTACATCCTTGAAGGACATTGTGATATTTATTAAACAAAGTGATATTAAAATGGTTTAACACTCTGAAAAATCCCGAGTCAGATTAAATCCCGTCAAACTGACACTTTTCCGTGTCAAAGTGGCACTTTTCCGGGTCAAAGTGACACTTTTCCAGGTCGAAATTGTCAATTTGACCCGAAGTAGTATCACTTAGTCTAATATGACCCGCATTCCGCAGGACATGCATATCTGACCCGGGACGTTTTAGATAGAGTGAAGATATTTTACTGGAGATATTATGCTCGAAGATAGCGATTAGATGCTTCAAGGCACATATTTCAAGTTCTTCTACGGTTTCTGCATTAAAAAGGACATTTCAATTGCGACAAAAAAATAACAGGCTACGAAGAGATAACTTTGGTCGCAGGAGCTCATACCATGCCAACAGCATTTATTCAACAGAAATCTTAAAAGTGTGATTACAATAATTAAGACCCACCACCCAGAATGACTTTTCATGCTTTTGTTTAGTTCAGATATAGCGTGTGATTTGTTTCATCTGCCTACAGGTCAGTTTTAAGTCTTCATAATTCACTGTATAATGTCTTGTAAGCGAAAACTGATTTCAGCAAGCTGTAAAGAAAGGCCTATGTAATAACAAGACAACATGCTAAATAAATGCGATGCAAAGGAGGAAGTTGTGTCAGAGAAACTCGCAGTGGTAGCTTCACAATCGTGACACCCATCGGGTGTTGTTGTTCATTTCCAGATAAAGATTCTGATTAGGATCAGATTAAATAGTAATCGAAAAATATGTCATAAATTTACTCACGGGAGTTAGCTTTGTCAACTTTTATTCCTTGTGGGAATTTCAATTACATGTAGATGCAAAAAGTCTCATTTAACTCGAACAAGGCAAAGACAATACAACTTAATCCCTACACCGTAATAAATAATCAATTGCGACTTCATCATCCCAAGGCTGTTGGCATTTGGAATCTGAAATGAAGACCAAAACAAGAGAAAATAAAAATAATTTCATTGTTAAGCTCACACCAAACTCGTTGGATGAAAAAAAATAGGAAAAAAATAAAAACGTTTTTGGTATTTACGTCCTTAGAACTTGCTTAAAATGTCAGTGCTAGAAATCACATGCACAGAAACTAGTACAGGAATGTTAAATGTCTATAATGGTGTCAAATCTAGCCCAGGTTGGACGATTGTCTTCGTTGCATTACGACTGACGTCCAGGTTCTTAGACCTCTGTGTAATACGACTCAAAAAAAGAAAATTATTGTTTTGAGCACTTCATATCGTGGACTCCCTCTGTACGTAGGGAGGTAAGGAAGTCTACTAGGTTACATTGGTTTCAAGGTAAGTCAATTACAGCAAAATGCAGTTTTGAATGACAAATTTTCCTCTTTTTGAGGTTATTATTTCCTTAAACGGGTGCAGCTAAGTTGAACGATTATATCTGTCATTACGTGGGCTCACTAGCTTTGGCCAAACAAAAAAGTCTCCGGTTTCAGGTATGCGCCCGTGTCGCCCTTGCCATGCGCTTCGGCAAAATGAAAAAGTTTTTCTTTCCAATGTAAGATGATGTCTCAAAACTGCCAAACTCACTGGTTTGACTGGAATCCTGCTGCAGCACAATTTTAACATGTTTTTAGATGGGGTTATGATCGAGTATAAGCTTTATGTGGCCTCTAAGGGACTCCCATTGCGCTAAATTTAGTTGGGCACTATTTGCAGTCATCAGCCGACATTTGAAGAAAAAACGGGGGGAAAAAGCCGCGTCGCTGCACCACTTTTTGGGGCAAGCTTCATATCAGAAACCCGGAGACTTTTTTAGCCTAGGTTGAACGCCATTAACAAAAGTGGGGTCACTACTCGACAAGCTTTGCTTTTTAGAGACCCGCATCCATTAATATAACGACTGTCAACTTTTCGGAAGAAGCAAAAATTACCTTCAATATTTTGCCATTCTCTTGCGAGCTTATTCGCAATCTCCCCATGGCATGCAGGCCAAGCCGGGATGGCACGGTGAGTCAAAACCACAGCCTGAAAATAAAGCAGTTGGATACGAAATGTTAGTGTTACCACACGATAACACTCTGCATCAATACATTGGCAGCGTGTTTAAATGTGAACATTAAATCTGATTAATTAGCTCGAAATTAAGAATAAATCAACTGCAGAAACTTACGATCTCTTGGATATTGCTTCACAGCAACCTCGTCGGCTGAAAGGAAAGAGAGGCGGAACAATTATTTTATTGCTGATCAGTGCGTCAGTTTAGATAAAAAAAAATCACAACGCTAAATCTTACACATATAATGACAAGGATCTTTATTGGAACATGGTCGAATGTCCATTAAAATGTGTCAGTACTTTACTACTGTACTGGCCCGATTGGCGGATTGCATCGTAATGTTAAATAGATGTCGTTCAACTAAGCTGCATCGGTTAAAAGGGAATAACTTCAAAAAGAGGAAAATAATCCTAGAAACTTCGCCGATTGAGCTGAAGAGCAATGAGACGGAGAACATGTTGACTATTCACTTTTTATGTTCACTGCGTAAAAGATGCGTCCCCCGCGCTCCTCAAAAAGGAAACGGGACACAGCATTGCTTTCCAATGATTCTATTAAAAAAGTGTTACATCGGTTTCGAGGTAAGTCAATTACAGTAAAATGCAGTTTTGAATGACAAATTTTCCTCTTTTTGAAATTATTATTTCCTTCAACGGGTGCAGCTAAGTTGAACGAAATATATCATTACGTGGGCTCACTAGCTAAGGCCAAAAAAGTCTCCGGTTTCAGGTATGCGCGCGCGTCGCCGTAGCCATGCGCGTCACGTCGGCAAAATGAAAAAGTTTTTTTTGCCAATGTAAGATGATGTCTCAAAACTGCCAAACTCACTGGTTTTAGCAGCACAATTTTAACGTGTTTTTAGATGGGGTTACGATCGAGTATAAGCTTTATGTGGCCTCTAGGGACTCCCATTGCACTAAATTTAGTCGGGCACCATTTGCAGTCATCAGCCGACATTTGAAGAAAAAAACGGGGGAAAAAGCCGCGTCGCCGCACCATTTTTGGGGCAAGCTTCGTACCAGAAACCGGAGACTTTTTTTTGGCCTAAGTTGAACGACATCTATTTAACAAAAGTGGGGTCACTACTCGACAAGCTTTGCTTTTTTGAGACCCTCATCCACATTATTGTGATCTTATGATTGTCTTGACATACTGCTTTGTATTGCTATGTGGTAAATAAAGTAAGATTGATTAAAGATTGATTGATTGATTGATTGATTGAAACAGCCCCCCCCCCCTTCCGGGAAATAAACATTATAACGATTGTCGATTCAACTTTTCGGACGAAATAAAAATTACCTTCAACATTTGCCATTCTCTTGAGAGCAAAGTCGCACACTCCCCATGGCATGCAGGCCAAGCCGGGATCACACGGTGGAAAATCATAACCACAGGCTGAAAATGAAGCAGTTGGATACGAAATGTTAGTGTTACCACACGATAACACTGTGCATCAATACATTGGCAGCGTGTTTAATGTGAACATTAAATCTGATTAATTAGCTCGAAATTAAGAATAAATCAACTGCAGAAACTTACGTGCTCCTTGATATTGTTTCACAGCAACCTCGTCGGCTGAAAGGAAAGAGAGGCGGAACAATTATTTTATTGCTGATCAGTGCGTCAGTTTAGATAAAAAAAAAATCACAACGCTAAATCTTACACATATAATGACAAGGATCTCTATCGGAACATGGTCGAATGTCCATTAAAATGTGTCAGTACTTTACTACTGTACTGGCCCGATTGGCGGAATGCATCGTAATGTTAAATAGATGTCGTTCAACTAAGCTGCATCGGTTAAAAGGGAATAACTTCAAAAAGAGGAAAATAATCCTAGAAACTTCGCCGATTGAGCTGAAGAGCAATGAGACGGAGAACATGTTGACTATTCACTTTTTATGTTCACTGCGTAAAAGATGCGTCCCCCGCGCTCCTCAAAAAGGAAACGGGACACAGCATTGCTTTCCAATGATTCTATTAAAAAAGTGTTACATCGGTTTCGAGGTAAGTCAATTACAGTAAAATGCAGTTTTGAATGACAAATTTTCCTCTTTTTGAAATTATTATTTCCTTCAACGGGTGCAGCTAAGTTGAACGAAATATATCATTACGTGGGCTCACTAGCTAAGGCCAAAAAAGTCTCCGGTTTCAGGTATGCGCGCGCGTCGCCGTAGCCATGCGCGTCACGTCGGCAAAATGAAAAAGTTTTTTTTGCCAATGTAAGATGATGTCTCAAAACTGCCAAACTCACTGGTTTTAGCAGCACAATTTTAACGTGTTTTTAGATGGGGTTACGATCGAGTATAAGCTTTATGTGGCCTCTAGGGACTCCCATTGCACTAAATTTAGTCGGGCACCATTTGCAGTCATCAGCCGACATTTGAAGAATAAAAACGGGGGAAAAAGCCGCGTCGCCGCACCATTTCTTGGGGCAAGCTTCGTACCAGAAACCGGAGACTTTTTTTTGGCCTAAGTTGAACGACATCTATTTAACAAAAGTGGGGTCACTACTCGACAAGCTTTGCTTTTTTGAGACCCTCATCCACATTATTGTGATCTTATGATTGTCTTGACATACTGCTTTGTATTGCTATGTGGTAAATAAAGTAAGATTGATTAAAAGATTGATTGATTGATTGATTGATTGAAACAGCCCCCCCCCCCTTCCGGGAAATAAACATTATAACGATTGTCGATTCAACTTTTCGGACGAAATAAAAATTACCTTCAACATTTGCCATTCTCTTGAGAGCAAAGTCGCACACTCCCCATGGCATGCAGGCCAAGCCGGGATCACACGGTGGAAAATCATAACCACAGGCTGAAAATGAAGCAGTTGGATACGAAATGTTAGTGTTACCACACGATAACACTGTGCATCAATACATTGGCAGCGTGTTTAATGTGAACATTAAATCTGATTAATTAGCTCGAAATTAAGAATAAATCAACTGCAGGAACTTACGTGCTCCTTGATATTGTTTCACAGCAACCTCGTCGGCTGAAAGGAAAGAGAGGCGGAACAATTATGTTATTGCTGATCAGTGCGTCAGTTTAGATAAAAAAAAATCACAACGCTAAATCTTACACATATAATGACAAGGATCTCTATCGGAACATGGTCGAATGTCCATTAAAATGTGTCAGTACTTTACTACTGTACTGGCCCGATTAGCGGAATGCATCGTAATGTTAAATAGATGTCGTTCAACTAAGCTGCATCAGTTAAAAGGGAATAACTTCAAAAAGAGGAAAATAATCCTAGAAACTTCGCCGATTGAGCTGAAGAGCAATGAGACGGAGAACATGTTGACTATTCACTTTTTATGTTCACTGCGTGAAAGATGCGTCCCCCGCGCACCTCAAAAAGGAAACGGGACGCAGCATTGCTTTCCAATGATTCTATTCAAAAAGTGTTACATCGGTTTCGAGGTAAGTCAATTACAGTAAATGCAGTTTTGAATGACAAATTTTCCTCTTTTTGAAATTATTATTTCCTTCAACGGGTGCAGCTAAGTTGAACGAAATATATCATTACGTGGGCTCACGAGCTAAGGCCAAAAAAAGTCTCCGGTTTCAGGTATGCGCGCGCATCGCCGTAGCCATGCGCGTCACGTCGGCAAAATGAAAAAGTTGTTTTTGCCAATGTAAGATGATGTCTCAAAACTGCCAAACTCACTGGTTTGACTGGAATGCTGCTGCAGCACAATTTTAACGTGTTTTTAGATGGGGTTACGATCGAGTATAAGCTTTATGTGGCCTCTAGGGCCTCCCATTGCACTAAATTTAGTCGGGCACCATTTGCAGTCATCAGCCGACATTTGAAGAAAAAAAACGGGGGAAAAAGCCACGTCGCCGCACCACTTTTTGGGGCAAGCTTCGTACCAGAAACCGGAGACTTTTTTTGGCCTAAGTTGAACGACATCTATTTAACAAAAGTGGAGTCACTACTCGACAAGCTTTGCTTTTTTGAGACCCTCATCCACATTATTGTGATCTTATTATTGTCTTGACATACTGCTTTGTATTGCTATGTGGTATAAATAAAGTAAGATTGATTAAAAGATTGATTAATTGATTGATTGAAACAGCCCTCCCCCCCTTCCGGGAAATAAACATCATAACGATTGTCGATTCAACTTTTCGGACGAAGTGAAAATTACCTTCAACATTTGCCATTCTCTTGAGAGCAAAGTCGCACACTCCCCATGGCATGCAGGTCAAGCCGGGATCGCACGGTGGAAAATCATAACCACAGGCTGAAAATAAAGCAGTTGGATATGAAATGTTAGTGTTACCACACGATAACACTGTGCATCAATACTTTGGCAGCGTGTTTAATGTGAACATTAAATCTGATTAATTAGCTCGCAATTAAGAATAAATCAACTGCAGAAACTTACGTGCTCCTTGATATTGTTTCACAGCAACCTCGTCGGCTGAAAGGAAAGAGAGGCGGAACATTGTATTAATACTCCTCGGAAAACTTAGCAATGGGAAAAACATTTTCGGGGTGAAACACAAATTAGCACGGAGAATTGATTGTGGTCCGAGGGAAGGATTGTAAATTGCAGCCACCGCTTTCTCCAAAAAATAAAAGACGGACTGAAGCTCAAAGAGAAGAAAAAAGAAGAAGGACATGTTACCTTTGTTAGTTTCAGCCGCGAAGACAGAGCCTAGGCACACCAGAACGACCAAGCAGATATAAGCCTTCATCTTGACTGCATAAAGATACGTTAACCGAGAATAATAAAAGCGGCACCCACAACAAGAACTAGAGGTTCGCGTTTGTTGAGTTACAAACACAAAGTGGTCGGGCCGGCATCTATTTCATTATGTCTTAAACTTTGCCACAATAATCAACTCAAAATCATTTTCAAACATTTTTCAACCTGCCGCTAGAGGCCGTTCTAACATGACGTCACCGGTATTTTTTTGTCTAAAGTACAAACTGGCTGGAGACTAACATCGCTGAAAGCAAATGCACATCTTTTTCCAATTTTTAAATTACAAGGCACTTCCGGTTTGGACCGGAAAGAAGGGTCAAGTGAGTTTGCAAGTCCCGTACACATCAAAATCAGATCTCTCCATAAAGCTATAATAAATTTAATATAGCTCAATGGATCTCTCACAGTTGATTTTCAAATATTAATCACGTGGTCTCAACATATATGCACACCTAAGCTACTGTATTGTAAACTCATCAAGTACAATCGTAAAAAACCCGTATCTCTAAAAGTAAAATTCGCACACCATTGGCGTAATGCAAAGTATTGCTCGCCATACTTATTCATCCCAATGTGCACGTTTAAAAAAAAGCCGCCTAGTTGGGCACCCGTTAAAGTTATGTAGCGCCCTCTAATTCATATGGCATCTATTTCATGTGTCTTAAAATTTGCCACAATGAACAGTTCCATACCCAACCTCGTCACCAGGGTGTCGAGCAGAACGCGCCCACCTCTGCTCTCTCACCCTGGTATTGGATCATTTGCATGTTCAAGATTATTGAACACACATGCAAATGAGGAATAGCCTGGTGCCTGCATGTGCATTACATCAGCGTTTGTTTTTGTATGCGGTATCTGGGGTAAAACTAACATCAATTCGTCGCGCCGGAATTTGTTTAACTTAAAATGTTACAATCTGGCCCGCCAATATCACATTTCATATTAATATAAGCAAACTGGAAAGAAAAGGAGTGTTTTTGAGAAGGCGTGGACGTTATTATTACAAAGCACCGTGAAAACACGTAATGTACGTTGGAAATAACAACACCAACTACACGATATCAATCAATTATTAGCAAATTGCTTTATCGAATCAGGACGAAGGTGGTTCCATACCTGCATCGGGCATCAATGGATTTTCCTGCCATGTTGCCTAAATTGAATTCTGTATCTGCAGATGTCTAGATTTGAACTTTCTATTAAAAAACACAATATTCAAGCAACTGTGGCGACGATCTTATCCAACGTAAAGACACTTGTGACTTTATACACGTACACAATGGTAACTGAATCACCAAGAACACAGACTTGACTCAAGCTGGAATTGCCTTAAATCGGTATCTTACAAAAATAAGTTTAAACTAGAGGTTCGCGTTTGTAATGTTACAAACGCAGAGTGGTCGGGCAGACAACTATTTCATTAGACACTGCCCAGTTAAGTTTGAATATTTTTATGTCAGAACAAAGGATCACGAACTTCAAAATTTCCAGTACAATCAATTATTTTGTAAAAAAAAATGCATATTTTAAAGAGGATGATAAATTTCAGTATACATTTTAGGTACACGTACACGTTGTTTCCAGTTTGATGACGTCATCAGTCAAGGGACTACTGATTTAGTTCAAGGAGGATACCTGTTTATCATTAAGTAAAAATAATGCACGGAAATATGGAAATTACAAGTGTATGTAATAATAACACCCAACTTCCGGTCTGATCCTGTAATGATTATAAAATCCTGCAAATTCATTTGTGGTTGCTCACGGAATATATAGGGACAATTTGGAAGAATTTTGCTTGAGGGCTTTAAAATTTGAAAAGGTTAAACTCGTTTTTATGTTCCGCTGGAGGGTGTCCTTTCGGGGATGACGTCAAAACTATGTTTTTGTGTTTGGCATCCCTCACTTAACACTTTCATAATGTACTTGTCTGTTGTAAAATGCTTTTGTTTTAGTTACAATTAATTTAGGTCAAGCGGTTTTGTGCCCAGGAATACCGGAAATGAATAAGTTGCTCAAGGCACCGTCTACAACCTCACGAAAACAATTGAACACGAAATTCTATGTAGTTTAAGAGATTTTGCTCAAACTATTTTGTCAAATTGTGCCCTGAAATCGCTTGTTATTTGATACCTGATGACGTCTTGATGACAAAAAAATGTATAACATCATCGTCGTAACATGGTACAAGTTCCCATAGGATATAAAGCGCACGTTAGCATATTGTGTCGTCAATTATGTCTCTGGTCTGTACCCTAATGAGCTCGTTTGAATAGCTTCCCCGAGTCAACTCGGATATGGTAATCCTGGTGGAACCAACAAGAACCAGTTGAAACCAACTGTCCAAACCAGTATTAACTGATAATCCTGATGCACTGTTATTTCGGTTGTGTAAAAATCAAACGGTTGTGTACTATTTGAACCTAGCAACCCGTTGTGTAAACTGTTCTTTACACAACTTGTGTAAAATATTACACAACTTGTTCAATATTTTTACACAACTAGTTGCTAGTTTCATATAGTACACAACCGAAATGACAGTGTGGAATCAACAGGAACCGGTCGAAACTAAATGAATAAACCAGTAATAACTGGTAATTCTGATGGGATCAACAGGAACCAGTTGAAAGCAACTGAATAAACCAGTAATAACTGGTGATCCTGATGGGACCAATAAGAACCAGTTGAAACCAGTTAAACTTACCAGTAAGAACTGGATACATTGGAATTACAGGGAACAGGAACCAGTTGAAACCATAGCCGAACCAGTTACCTACGGGTAAGTCTTACTGGATTCATGAATTCTACGTGACAGGTCTGTAAGACGAGCGTTTGACATATTTGTACAGATAGGCTAACACAATGTAAACTGTCGCGTCCATATACTCATAAAGTAAGTTACTTACATGAAGTTGCACTGTTGTGCTCCTGAAGTAGAGATAAGCTGGCTAGTTGACGACAATCGCCGGAATGTCTATTTGGAGAAAGGACCAGACCTTTTATACTTTTTGGAGATGTAAATGGACGGTGCAGAGCTTACGAATGTGGTAACGAAGGACCGATAATTGAGAGTGGTATCAGTAGACGTTCCAGATTGGCTGCAGATTATAAGATGTGAACTCCAGTGAAAGCCCCACCCACGCTTCTTGACCAATCACAGCTGCGATTAAAGACTGACATGCGTGCACTAAAGTGCACCATGCATTTGCGTGCGTTTGACGCACGGGCTGGCACGTGCAATGGGGCAGCGGATGGTGTCACGTGCTGTTGCCCACGTGCTCAGTGGGTGGAGCTTAATGGATTGGTTTATTGATCATGGTGACTCATCAAAAAACCTCATGTGACTAAAAAAAACCACTTCACTTTCAGCCCAGTTTACGTAGCATCTAAGTTTGGTCCAATGACGAAACAAAAGAAAAATTCGGAATCTCTTTCAATATTGCAAACTTCAATAGTTTCAGAACACGAACGATGAAGCAACGACTTTTAACGATGTCAGTATTATCAACAGAAATCCTTAAGTATAGACTTTCAAAACGTATTGTTACAAACAAACAGATACCTTTTATTCATTTTTAGAAAAAAGTTGTATATCAAGCAGAATCTGTTGATTTGTTGTATTTAGAAATACCTATCAAGGCATACGTACAGTCGTACACCCTTAAAAGAGTTAATTTGTCTATAAGAGACAAAGGACAAACATTCTAATTTAAAGATGACATTGTGCAATGACAAGAAACGTCTTTGCTATCACAAGAGTCAATTAAACGTCATTTCCTACAATTACTCGTATCAGCGAACTGTAATTGATCATAAAACCAGTAACTCGAAATTAATCGTTTCGACGAACATTATTTTGATATTAAAACAATATTTTACACTACAAATTCAATTGAGACAAAACATACTTCGTTTTGTATGAATCCTTTTTTTTAACGTATCTGGCAAGTTATTTATCATGTAAACTGGGTTGTTATGGTTGTCGGCCGCTAAAAGCAGACATATCAGGACAAACAACGGAACGCAATACTTCACAAAAGTTACCATCAAAAGCTTTAAAGTGACTGCCTCAATAAGTACGTGACTATTCTGCAATGCTGGCTCTTGAACACTTACATAATCTTATGTTTTATACTCAGTCCAATTTAAAAAAAACCTATAATTTTCTCTTACAAAATGTTTGGATTCGAGTAATCACAATATGTCGCAAAAAGAATCAATGAAACAGTATACAACTAACATTCGGAGATGTAACGTATCTTGTGACAAATATAATGGCACGCCTATAAGACAAAGGCCTATCTTTTTTTTTCTTTTCTTTTTTTAGCCCCCTTTCATAACCTTCTTGGACTTTTTTAAAGCCTTTTTGCAGTAGGATATCATTTCAAGTTTATTTTACTGAATTGGTCGCCTTGCTCAGAGCTTTTGAACATGACAAGTGACACTAATACGTTACCAAGCTGATCAGATACGTTACTTACCAGGTTGATCAGATACGTTGTCAGGTTGATCAGACTGCTTTATTTAAACCACCATTTTCCTTGAAAATCATGTGTTGGCGGGCTTAATTTTTTTGTAAAGTCGTAGTGCTGTACGGCCTTAAATGTTCTTGTTTTAGGTTTATATCTATACTTAACAATTTATAGGTTATGTCCTTAAAGTTGGTTAAAATTTAAACCAATTTTTCCAATGTTGCCCAACGTTGGGTATTTTTTTTTAAACAACTGTTGGACGGTTCACCTGGTAAACAACAGTTGGCTAAAATTAGTCATTCTACTAGTACCCAATGCTGGTTAAATTTACCCTTATTCAAGGCAGAATAAAGAGAAACTCTGCGTTTTTAGTCTTTTTTTTTTCATTATTAAATTCGATGGACTAAATTAAATTTTTCGATTGGCTACCACGAAAATCATGGATTTCCCCCCAAACAAATTCGTCAAAAGTCTTAGAATAGAAATGAAATTTAATTTGAGCTGTCACGGTGCTCAGTTTAAGAAGCTGTTTAAGAAAAGCAGGCCTATGGTAGTTAGGTTCTTGGAGAGTCCATGATATATATAGCACTGTATATTCGTTTGGATATCCGTCCCCTTAGTGGCGTAAGCCCGTGCCGACGACTGGGGGGGGGGGGGGGGGAGGTGACTCCCCCTAAAATTCTAAAACCATCCCTACGTAGCAAAATTCAAAAAGCGGTTAGCGGGAGGGAGGGGGGCTGAACACCATTCGTCACTATACGTAGCACTGCATGATGACAAATCAGCGACATGAGTGTATGCTACTGCTGTTTATGAGCATTTTACCTCAATTACTGACTTTATGAGTATAGTTGATATTTTCCTGTCGATTTTTTTAAATTGGCTACAATTTCTTTCTGTATGTGTGTATGTATGTATGTGTGTGTTTGTTGTTGTTGTTGTTGTTGTTGATATTCACCACTTATGGGGGATGATCCAATGACCCACCTTTCCCCCTCAAAAAAAATGTTGGGGGTATATATGCCCCAGGGATTTACACCCTTGTCCGTTCCTTCGAATCACCCCGAACCCTTCCCAATCCCATCGGCATGAGCGTCGCCGGAATTTTGTCCAGAGGCAGCTATGATTATTTGACACTTGGGGCGCTGTTCAACTTTAAACGAAGCCGTGTACAGAGCACGGATCTGACAGTACATAATATTTTAAAGGCATCTTTCCGGTGGTTTTGTCAAAATTTCAGAAAAATTAACAGTTCCAAAATTACTCAGACAATCTTGTTCCCCCAGCCCCGGCTCCGCACAAGTGACCCCCACCCTGTTCTTCAATCCTCTTGTCCGCACTGTTACCACCTTATAGAATGCAAGGAGAAATCCCGAGGTACCAAGGTTGAAAGAGAATCCAATGCAGTAATTAGTTCGCTTATCAATTCAGGTGAGTAACCTGCTGGTACATCATCCAAGACGCTTTGGATCCCTGGGATCTTCACTTGGCGTCGGCTATATCCATGCATGATAATCTACAAAGCCTTGTAATTATTTGACTGCATGGGTAAAGTCCTCTTTGTATTTCCTGGGGTAGAATTGGACCCATTCATTAAAAATGTTGATTGAAACAAAACGAATAGGGCGCGAGAGAAGATATTCACGTACAAAATAATGACCGAGTTAAAGAAATTTGCCCGCGCTCTTAATTTTTTCCCTCGCAAAAGGACGTTTTTGTTTTGCATGTAAATGAACCCGCCCTCCAAGAGCCAAGTCATTGTCAAGCCGCAAATAATTCATATTTTGTAAAAAAAAATATTCAATAATTAAACTTTGGTGGACTACCATGTCTCATTCAAAAGTGAATAACTTTCATGTCGCTATAGGTAAAAAGCATGAATATTACATTTTTTCCGGTTTCACACTCGAAATGGATGTTTAACGGCGTTTGGTTGATTTTCGCCATCGTAATAACATATTTAAACCAGAAAAATATTATTCTAAATAGTTTGTTAATGTAGCAAAAACCAATCCAACAATAGCAATTATATATACCAAGGGCTTCCCCTGAGGCGTCCCTGAAAAATTAGGCTCTTCCACTTGAGCCTTATACACCCGCCCCGCCCCCTGAATCTCCTACCTTCTCAGAACTTATGGGACTAAAAAGGAGCAGCCGCAGCGTTGGTATTGTTAAAAATTTAGTGCCCTACTTCAGGAACTGAGTCTTTTTAAGCGTACCCTATTTTCGAGTTGCACCCCCCCCCCCCCCCAAAAAAGCAACGTAAATAAACAACGAATAATATGGATAAGTACATGCGTCGGGTGCGCGGAAGAAAGTCGTTAGGGTGAAAAACAATGGGTCAAAAGGTCAAATTCGGATTTTTTTTCGGGTAATAGATAGAGCATGGAAATTTTTTTCATTTGATCTAGATTTTCTCTCAAAGGGCTACGTAATACTGATGTTATTAACAGTACAGCAAAAGTAGTTAGGACGTTTTTCTCTATTTGCTCCCGGCAAACGGTCGTTAGCGTGTAATTGTAATTAATGTAACAAAATATGTGCCAAGTGCGCTAACTTTTTTCTTCCAAAATGACCGGCCGGGCAATTTTCAAGATGGAGGCCAGCTTTTTTTTTAAATGGCCGCCACTTCAACCTCGTCCCCAGTGCTTACTTTATTTCCAACCTGGTTTCCAATAGTAAACCCTGGATAGGAAACTTTCTTCCTGTATCCTGATTCGATACCGCAATTGGCTAGTAATGGATTTTTATCGTGTACTTGGTGTTATTATTCACAACGTGCAGTACGTGTTTTCGCGATCATTTGTCCATGCCTTCTCGAAAATACTAATTTCCTTTCCAATATGGTCATATTAATATGAAATATGATACTGCATGTTGTGGCAATCGTGTTTTTGTAACTCAAGCCGTGCTCGCGCTGCGACGAATTGACTCTGTTTTTACCCCAGACACCGCATACAAAAACAAACGCTAATGTCACGCATATCCAGGCACCAGACTATTCCTCATTTGCATACGTGTTCAAAAATCTTGCACATGCAAATGATCCAATACCGGGGTGAGAGGGCAGGTAGTGATGGGCGCGTACTGTTCGACACCCTGGGGACGAGGTTGCCGCCACTTGGACTCAGGAAATGACAGCCCAGCTTTATAAGGGCTAGATGCAACAGAGAAAAGGCCAAAAAAAGAAAGAAAAAAAAGGAGGCGGCCTCCAAAAAAGAAAGCGGGCGGGACGCTAAACATTTTTTTTTATTTGCCTAACCCTATTTTCAACGTTCATATTTCCAATTTAAGGACATTTTGGTGCCTTTTTTATTCTTATGCTAATGCAAATTTCCATATTCATTAGCAAAAGTGTGACATGTCAATTTTCAGGCAAAAACCTCAACGTTACAGCTATTTCAGCAGCCACATTTTCTGTGGTGATTCGTTGTTGTTTAAAATTCATTAAAGCTAATGGGCACAATTTTCTCACAAATGGTAGAAACTTCAATGTTACAGC